TTGTTCTCAGACCTCAGCAAGCATCAGAATCACCTGCCAGGCTTATGGACCCACAATGCCATGTCCCCACCTCGAGTGAGAAGGGCTGTGTTCTCAAGAGGTGTCTTAAGAATTATACTGCTCACAAATCTCCAGGGGCAGTGTTGCAGCTAGCCCAGGACCTGCACCTAGAAGACCCCTGCTCTAGGGACACAGACTGTGGGTCCTGTATGCCTTTGATCCTTGTCACTGACATCTGACTGGGTGGGTGCTCTGCTTTGATAAGTAATTGCTCTCTCTCTCTCTCTCTCACACACACACACACACGTGTACAAGTGCTTTTGGCTATTACCATAATTATGGTTGATTAAAGCCTTATGATTGCAGACCTGTTATTCTCACTAACTTCTGTGTTATACAAAAAGACTTTGCCTGGGGAGATGCAACACACATATCTACTCAGCCCAAATAGAGAACCCATGACAGACCCAAGTCCAGCTTGGTGAGCCCATGAGTTTTATTGGGGTTACTGACAGGAGCAAAAACGACTCAGCATGACCAAAACCTATTACTCCAGCATGGGTGACAGCTCACAAAGCTAGGAACCTGGTTCCAGGACAACCAGGGCTACATAGAGGAAAAACCCTGTTTCTATAAAAAAACAAAACCATAAAACCATAAAACCAACTAAAGAAAAAACAAAGGCTGGAGCACACTGCACAGCCAGCAGGCAGCTTAACAGGTTGGAGAGTGTCCTTTCCAGGCGCCTCAGTCGGTCTAACCCTCTCACCCGCTGCTCTCCTGGTTCCTGCTTCTTCCAGGCAGCAGATCTGGTCTGAGTCTTCTTTGCAGCTCAGTTTGTCTGAGAGCCTTTGCAGCGTGGCTCGGCTGCCTCTGAGAGGGGACTGTGGGTTTTTATTGTTTACTCTGGCAGGGAGGGCCCTAGAGAATCTGGTCAGTTTCAGGGACTTCCTGAAGCTGTTTTGAGTTGTTTGCCTTCCTGCTTAGGAGCTTGCTATAGGATAGAATATTTTGATCTGGGAGGAAACTGTTACACAATTCTGGTAGGTTTCAGTTTTCTTCCTGAATCAAATGAAACAGTAAGGTTAGCTTCTTGAGCACTGTAAAAATGTATCAGAGCATCAGTGGGAATTGATTTTTCATAGATCTATAAGAGTGTTAGTGGGGAAATTGATTTGTCATAAGTCTATAAAAATATCAGTGGGGCAATTGATTTGTTATAAGTCTATCAGAGCATCAGTGGAGAAATTGATTTGTTATTTAGTTACTTATTGAGACATTTTAGTGATATTGTTACCAAACCTACAGTAGTTTCATTCTCCCTTTTGGGTTGAAAGAGAATATAAATTTAGTTTATATGATGCCACTTTATAAGATCCTATCTTGAAAGCTGATTATTTCGGCAGATAGAGTGTTATGTGTGCTTCCAACTGTATTACAGGAAAATAAGTCCTTGAGCCAAACAGTCTCAGAACTTAATTCTGGCTTCATGGCTTAACTGAGCATTTGTGGTCAAGTGGCTCAGCCTCTTTTGTAGCACTCCATCTTTTGCAAAATGACTGTTGCTTGCCTCACCAGACGTGTTGGGTTAGTTTCAAATAGTCTTGGGAAAAGTGCAGCTTTGATTCTGGCACTCAGTAGGTTCTCAGTACATTTTTCTTCTTTTTTAAAGGGTTTATATTTTTCTGTTGGCTGAGAGTGGGTATGGAACATTACTTCCATTGGCTTATTCCCCTCCCCCCTAAATACAACAAATACACTGATAATTCAGGAAGAAGCACATTAGCTCTCAGAAGGCCTTGGCTGCCTAACTATACTTAAAGCTGACTGAGTGGGTGGACTTCGCTGGGGTGAGAGCCAGCTGCCCGCACCGGCATCCATCTCTGCGGGAATGCATTCAGACTACCTTACCACTAAGGGGAATGTGAAGCGTGTGTGAGCAGAGCTGTACAAGCCAGAACACTGGCCCCATAGCCCCATGGCTGTTTAGTGAAGCATGTGATAAGTACCAGGCCATGCGTTGTTTGTGGACCTGGCTTTGACGTTTACAAAGATGATTAAGACATGATGTTACCCTCAAGTGGTCCCTGGCCTGTGTCTCTCTGACACACCTGTTGGACGTGGCTGTCTAGTGCCTGAACAGTCAGAGGGTGGCAGTCTTGGCATCAACATCTCCTGTGTCTTAGGGTCAAAGTAAGAAGATAGTAACAGGCCAGTGACACAGAGCCACTCTGACATGATCGTGAAAAGTGCATTTCACTCTCCTGGAACGTTGCGTGGAGATGTAGTTTCCCTGCAGCTGAGCAGCTGAGTTTGGCCAGTTGTCTGCACATAAGAGCAGCCATGGGTTTCCTTTCACATCTGCTTAAAAATGTGGGACCAGGATGGCACCTTGTCTGAGTCCTAGCAAAAAGTGCTGGGCGACGTCAGTGAGATGAGGTTGTAGTAACAGGGAAGGTGGTTTCCTAGGAATGTCATCTGAAGTCTCGGCCGATGCAGTGTCCCGTTTCCTTAGGAATGGGTGCTTGCTTCCTGGGGTGCTGGGCCATTCTGGGCTTCTGGTAGACAGGAGGCTTCATCCTGGCTGGTTCACTGCTTTCAGGAATCAGATTATAAACCCCTCATGCAGGAAGACTGGCACCATCATCGCTCTTTGTCGCCATTCCCATCAGCTTCTGAAATCTTCTCATCTCCAAGAGCTGAAAAGACCTGAGCGGGTTTTCTTCTGGAGGTGAACAGAGGGAAATATTGGTTGGTACCCCTGTGGGCAAGAGTTCAGGAATCCCATTTAGCCACCTCAAGGAATGATCTAGGGCAGAGGTCACAAGAAACCATATGAAAATCACTTGTTTCCAATGCCTTAGGGATTGCATGACAGAGGAGCCAGGGCAAGAGCAAGAATTCCCTGCCCCGAGGCAGCCCTTACTTGTCCCTGCTTTGAAGGTCACGAGTCTCCATTGGTGTCCATTGCTGCTGCCTGTCACGTGACTCTGACAGCTGCCAAACAGAGCAGTTCAGTTACCTGCCTGGCCCTAGCAGGACCTTGAGATTTACTAATTTCTGTTAAAGCTTCTCTGTTAGCCCTTCCCCTGGTTTGCCTGGTTCGATGATTCTCTAGGAGGGCCCACAGGATCCATGTCCATGATCCTCATGGCGGCAGTTTACTGCCGCAGAGGTATAAGGTACAAGCGGTAAAGAGAAAGGGCGGCCGGAGTACTGTCATTGGCCAGGCAAGAGCTTGCCAGGGTCTCTTCCCTCTCCCGCCACAGTCACACTTGACGTGTGCAGTTCCCTCAGCAGTAAGATGTGACAAAATGTGTAAAAGGTTGTCTCTAAGGGGCACTAGCTAGAGACTGGGTGTGCAGGATTTTTCCTGAAGGCCGGCCATGGTATCACTCGCTACCTGGCACACTCCAGAATGTCTCAGGAGAGCCTGGCACTGTCTCAGGAGAGCCTGCAGCAGCCAACATTCTGCACTGTCAGAAAATGGTGCGAACTCTCTCCAAACCCAAGTTCCAGAGGTCAGCCCACGATTAGCTTTGCACGCAGCCTTCTAAAGACAGAAGACCCAGGCCTGCTGTGTTCACTCCTTCCCAACTTTGCTCTGCCCATTCACCTTGAAACTCACTGAATTGGAGACCCGGATTTGTGCTTCATCAGAGCTTTTGGCCCTTGGCCTTGGCTTGCTGGAGAAACGCTGGGCTGGGTCATGGGTGTTCTGCTTTGGAAAACAGTTTGGCCTTATGCCGACAACGGGGCTCACCGTGTGCTTCTGTCGTTTATCAAGACGACCTGTCCCTCTTGGCCCCATTGCCCTGATCTGTCAGTCCTTGAGGCTCAGAAACTTTTTCATTCTGTAATTCCCCGGTATTGGGTGGCTAAAGCTGCCCACAGTCTGTGCAGGCCCGGACCCGTACCTCTGCGTGGGAGAAGCTTTGGGTGTAGTTGTAATTTGAAGCCTTCATTTTCACACTTGATGTTGCACTGAAAAATCTTCCTTTAGGATTTGAGCCTGTTGGCTTGAATTGCGCATTTGTGTCTGTTTCTCAGTCCCTCTTTGTTTTCTGCTTTGAGGGTTAGTTGCTTGGCTTCAGGAGTCTTATATGATGCCAGTGGTTTGAGACTTGCTGATTTCGCCTCCTGGTTACCTCTTGGGCAGATCTCCAGCTAGTCTGTCTGTATTTCCACACCACCTGTGCCCCAAGCAGTAGCTCTAGGGAGCTCCCTGGACCCCCAGGAGCCTCTCCTCCGTGCTGGCTGTCACGGCTGGATAAGTCGTTGTGTGTTTCTGTTCCTGCCTTGAATTGAGTCACCTACAGTTGTGTGTAGGTGAGCCAATGGCCCATTTTTCAGTCAAACTCCACGTTCCATGGTCCTTGCTGGAGACAGACTGGCCAAAGAGGGGCCAACTTCACACTGACTGTGTATAAACCAAGATGGGGCTTGTGCACTTAGAAAACAGTTTTTACTCAATACACTCAATACAAAGTGCCATAGGGAGTTTGCGCACCTGGGAGGGGATGGAGAAGGTGGGGGGAATCTGGAATTGCTCCCTGCTACCCCCACAAACTAGTTAATTGTCACAGACTTTGCTCTCCTCTAACTTTTGTCACTTAAATAGCTCTTGGGTACAGGGTCTTTTTTGGCCTGGTGATTAGAGGTTTAAGCTTCACCTACTTCCGATTTAAGGGCTGCAGAAGCAGAGGACAAGGCGGGACACGGAGACAGAGGGGTGAACAGCACCCAATCTACAGCTCCTTCCTGGAACGTTGGGTAGTCAGGCCACTGCATGGAAGGGCCTTCTGTGGCCTCCACTTCCTGTGGGAAGTTTTACTGCTTCCATGTTACGTGAGAGTTTGTTGTGTGATTTAAGACCATCCAGGCAAGGAGTACGTGTTTAATGTTGATTGATACTTACGCTCATGAGCTGTTTTGTGTGGAATGGTGGTAGAAGTGATGTGGACTATGAAACTGATGATTTTTTTTTTTTTTAAATTTAGGTGGCTGCAGCAACTGGGCATACGGTAGTATTGGTGGACCAAACAGAGGACATTCTGGCAAAATCCAAGAAAGGGATTGAGGACAGCCTAAGGAGAATGGCAAAGAAGAAGTTTGCAGAAAACCCTCAGGTAAGTTCTTATCAGTGTTCTTAAGGTCAATCCTCTAATGGCTCCACCTTTGTGTGTGTGTGTGTGTGTGTGTGTGTGTGTGTGTGTGTGTGTGTGTGGTGGCTTCACCTTATTATGTGCTTGTGTATTTAATTGCTTGTGCAAAACTCATGACTCTTTATACTATTGCTTCTCAACTTTCCTACTGCTGTGACCCTTTAATACAGTTCCTTGTGTTATGATGACCCCTAACCATAAAATTATTTTTGTTGCTATTTCGTAACTAATTTTGCTACTGTTGTGAATCATAATGTAAACATCTGATATGCAGGCTATCTGATATGTGATCTCCGAAGGGGTCGTGACCCACAGATTGAGAATCAGTGGTTTAAACCGATGTAACACACCACTAAACATGCCGTTGGGGCTGATTAGAAAACAGAAGGAGTCAACCATTTTGCTGTTGGGGAGGCTCTAGCGTTAGAAGGTTTCCACAGCTGCTGAGCTTGATGCAAGACACAGAATCAAAAACTGAGGAGCACTTATTTTGCCAAAAAACAGGAGAGAATGAAACAGGGAAATACTTTTGGGGTTTGTAAGGTAAAAACTGAAGGTTACAATAAACACTGCATTTAGACAAACATTTCCCTGCTAGGGGAAAGCTAGGGCCATTTCTTATTCTCCTAAGCAGAGGAAAAACAGAAGACAATGAGAGGTGGGGGCTTTCACTTATGGTTTTTCTTGTTGGAACTTGCTATGTTTCCAGCACTCTCCCTGCTTATCCACATTAATTAGAAATACTGTACAAACCATCCAGTTGAATTATTATTTCTGTTGCCATTCTGTCAAAAGTTGCTGAGGACTGATTTCTTCGAGCTTGAATGGAATGCCTCCCTGTGTTCAGGCAGAGTTCAAGGACGATACTTGCCTTTTCCCCTCTTAATTTAAATTTAATTTTTAGTTATTTTTAAAGTTAAACACATTAGTTATTTTTCTTGTTGCTGTGATAAAATAACTGGTCAGATTCGATGTAAGAGAGGAAGTGTTTGTTTTGCCTTATAGTGTTGATCCTGTCAAGAATAAAACCACTAGTACTTTTTTTTTTTTTTTGCCAAATTTGAAGCAAGCTTTATTCAGTGTTGTCCAGGACCATGAATACTGGCCAGGTTCATACCTGGGATTCCCAAAGTATGGTGCCAGATTTCATTAGTCAGGGGCTTATAAAGGCAAACCCCACAAGGTTACTTACTTTCCGCCTTTGTCCCATCAGGAGCATGCATACATCCTGACCCACTTCCTGCCTACATACCTCCCGCTTATGTGCGATCAAGCACACCCTGTGCAGTGGAGGCAACCAATCTTGTTTACAGAAGTGAAAGCACGTGGCTTGTTCTCTGACATGAACCACAGTCCCCAGCATTCCAGGAAGTTATGTATCCGTGGGCTTACAGGTTAGAGGCACTTTCGTTTTGTAGCTCTCTTAAGCACAGTAATTTAAACATAATGTGCACAGTGGTTCAAGGGGAACCACCTCATGATGATGGAGAAGACATAGCAGCAGATGGAAAAGGTAGGACAGCAGGAGCAGGACACTACCTGGTCACACTGGTCAAGAATTAGAGAGCCACAAAGGTTCGTACTTAGCTTGCTTTCTTATTTTATTTAGTCAGGGACCCCAGCTCAGGGAAGGGTGTCACCAGTAGGGGTGGTCCCCTCAGCTCAGTTAACCTAATCCTGACAGTCCCTTGCAGGCATGCTCTTAGGCTTGCCTCCTAAGTGATACTAGTTGCCAAGATAACCATGGTAGTTAGCCTACAAAGAATTGGGTTCCATGGTGGCACTTTCATACTCATATATCATTTGTCCCAGTTTCTCTCCATTTTTTAGTTCCCTGCCTCCTCCCAAATAGTACTTCCTGCCTTGATTCATTACTCCATTATTTTTTCTTTCTCCCTTCCCCCCTTTAAGGTTTCTCTACCTACCTCCATGGTAGCCTTTCTCCATTTCTCTCTCTCTCTCCCTTTCTCTCACACACACAGAAAGAGAGATATTGGTATCTTAAGTTCACGTATGAGAGGAAACATGGCATTTATTTTTCTGAGTTTGGTTTATTTCACTTAACATAATGATCCTCAGTTGCAATTTCCTCTAAATGTCGTGATTTCATTTTTCTTTTCTTTCTTTCCTTTTTTTTTTTTTTTTCCTGAGACAGGGTTTCTCTGTGTAGCCCTGGCTGTCCTGGACTTGCTTTGTAGACCAGGCTGGCCTCAAACTCACAGAGAGCCACCTGCGTGTGCCTCCTGAGTGCTAGATTTTATTTTATCTTATTGAATGGCTAAGTAAAATTTCATTGTGTGTATGTGGAGCACATTTCTCCTTATCCGTTCATCTGTGGCTGGGCACCTAGAAGCTTGTGTTTTGTGGTTTCTGTGACTAATGTGGCAGGCACATAGATCTGAGGATCTCTGTGATGTGTTGTCTTAGGGCCCTTCGTTGGAGTTCTGTAGTCAGTATTTGTGAGGAACCTCCATACCATCTTCCAACAGTGTATACTTAGGTCCCCCTTTCCCACATTCTGGCTGACATTTGCTGTCATTTGTTTTCTTGATGGTGGCCGTTCTGACTGGGATGAGATGGACTCTTGGAACGGTTTTAAACGTTTATTGGCAGTTTGTGTGTCTTTTGAAAACTGTTATTCATCAACTCAGCTGTTGACGGGATGGGTGTTGTAAGGTTTTTACTTGAGGCATCTCCAGGAGTGTATGTAATCGCATTAGGGTGTCCCTGACGGTATCCAGCAGGGCAGTGAACCCCTGAGAAGAACAGCCCCGTGCAGGTTGACTTCCTCAACCCGGATCAGACTTCAGGGCATCTAATGCCGGGCGGTTCGTTGTCAGCATAGTTAAAACACCGTACAATCTGAGAAAAGGTTTCCAGGCAACAATCATCCCAAATCTAGGTGTACAATAAGCTTAAGGTGTGACTCTATAGAAACTCCTTTACAGAGTACATGTGACCATGAGGGTGGGTTCTTTAGCCAAAGGCCTAGACTCTAGTGTGGTCTCTGACCAATAGCATAGAGTTGGCAGGCCAGGAAGTACATGTGACATCTCCCCTAAGGATGGGTAACGGCCTAGGGAGGGAGGAGTCTGGGATAATCATTCTGGGGAATTTGGGTGAGGTCTGCCTCTATAGCAAAAAGTGGGTGAGGTCTGACTCTGTAGATAGCCAAAAGGGCACCAGGTCATTAACAAAATCCACTTTCAGCTTTCTGGATGGGATGCAGGTATTTGATTTTTATCCCCTCCATTGAGATCTCACCCCTTCCTAATTAACATTCCCTGTTCTCTGTGAGTACAATGACCTTTGTGGCCCCAGCAATTGCCTTACATTTTTTTAAAAAAAATGTGGTATGATATATATATATATATATATATATATATATATATATATATATATA